CCAAATTTTCTTGTTACCTCACTAATAGAGTCGTTACTCCTCCTTATACAAAAAAGAACAACAATCGAAATAAGATGTACTGTTAGGGGGTAGCCTCCTTACTGACCATTTATTTTCAACAGCCCTCGACTTMTGAAAAGTTGCAACTTTGATTTTCTTTTGGAAATATTGTGGGTCAAATCGATGTGTTTAGGAACATCTTTTTTTTCAATCAAACCAGCTTTCACCAGCATTTAATGAATTGATTTTCACGTGTCAAACATGCCGTGCAAACGACGATAATTGTGCAAATTTAATTTAAGCCGTAAACGCGAACATTTTGTAATTTAAATTACTTTTTTGTCCAAGTACAAAATATGGTAATACTTAAACAATTGCTAAGTACTCTGCGTGACATAGGTAAAATTTGGCTGATATTAAAATGCGAAATATTGAAAGTGACAAGAAAAAATAACGATTAGAGCATACTAGGTGTATTAGCGTAATATCTATTTCACGGGTTTTTGGGTTTAAGACCTATTTGAAGGATTTGTTGCTACAATATCGAGTTTTCTTCATCAGAGCGGATTTCGTATGGCTGTCTAAATAAGTCAAAAAACTGAAGCCATTTTAATGGTAATGTATTCTTGAATCAATTTTTTACATTGGTAATTTGGTGTGACCAGTGCCAAGCGAGGTTTCGTGACCATGTCATGTTCATTCCGTGTCCGCGAGGTGTCATGTCCTTGTCGTGCCCACAACACTGCGAGAGTCTTTATCCTTGGTTCTTATGTACATCACCACGACCCTCCCCTCCCCTCCCCTCTATATTTTCACGTTATTTTGAAGAATTTATGCAGTGGTGAATGGTGAATTTCTCGCTTGGAGTAAAATAAAGTGAAACAAAACTCTGACCTCTTGTTATTTATGTATTTTTCAATCCCCTGACGAAGTTTCAGCCGATTTCCGAGTTTAAGCACCTTTCTCCCCGTCAATGGCACATTTGACAGACATAAGAAATCCGCTCTAGTATTTATCATTGTTATATGCCCGCATGCTAGGCACTCGAGGGGGCCGCCTCTTTTGTTCTGTGTCCACTTGAATCATCTTTTTCACTTTGCTGTTTTTGTTTGTTATTCAAAACAATTGCCACTTGCCACGTTTCGTTAAAAGCGGAACTCTCAACACGGATATCTGCCTGTAGTGTCCTCTATGAGATCACAGTGTAAGACGTAGTGACTACATATCAACATGAGATACGTTGTTGTGATTTTGTTCATTGTAGCTGTGTGTGTGTTTTGCAATGCTTTACCCAACAAGTGTCCAAAGCATCCGCCATGCCGTCCATATGGAGGCTGCAGGATAAGAAGTAAGTCAAAACACTACTGCGCGATATATAGATTTTTTCATGGGAGGTGCGGCGTAAGGAATTTTATTCATGTTTGAATGATACAACGAACGAACGAGGAACGATATAATCTGTTTATTATAAATATAACGAATATAACGAGACTTTCATTCGGAATACTTTTAATCTGTTAATAAGCTTTTTTAATACCCTGGTTCCAGAGGTTTTCTCTCGCATTTTTATCTTTGCTTTTTCGACGTTAAAGTTCAAAAGGAGAAACAAAAATGAGATAAATACTAAGAAAACGTCTATAAAAGAAAAAACGAAAACCTCTGGGACAAGATGAGAAACAAGCCCATCATAAGCTTATGTAGATAAAACTGCAAAGATACAATAAAATTGATATAAATTTTACAAATAAATAACTAAATAAATAGTCCTAGTGTCCGTAAAAACTCACTGAACAATTAACTGAAGCTGCACAAACATAAAACGTAGTGCGATTTAGAAGTAAGTACAGGTTAAGACAACCGTATTAAGGTGGCTTCCTATAGTTTTTTTTCCCGACCATATATATCTTTCCTTTTAAAGTTCGCTTTTTGAAAATCTTGCCCTCCACCGATTTATTTCGTGTTTGGACCAGTAATAAAGCATTGATCATAGTTTTGTTTGGCATAATTTAGCTCCATTAAGGTTACCTAGGCAACGGACATGCAAAAATCACACCCATAATATATTTGTCAATATATATTTCTGTCTGAGCAAATCACTCTCAGCTGCATAGAAATGAATACTTCTGGCGATAAGAATCAGCTGAAGCACCTATTTTTTTTTAAACCGAAATTAATTTACATTGTTTAAAATTGTCAAGAAAAATAAGCTGAACCCTTTGTATTTTACTAACATATATTTAATGTTGAATAGATGGTTATAAGCTTCGAAAATTGTTCGGTTAATACAACTGACAAAAATACGTTTTTACGCTGATAATTGTGACTGGAATAAGTCATCCTTACTCACCTGATAGTGATTTGCCCAGACCATGGATAATAAAAGCACTTTTATTATCCATACCCAGACTAATTTTTATTTCTTTGTAAAGGTCATGCCTTGCTTAGTAATCACTCCGAATTTTATTGCAAACTCTTGCACATAAAAAATTGATCTTGTACTAATTTGCATATATCGATTTATATTTAACCCATTTACTCGTTCCTTGCTTGCTCGTTGTATGATACAAACGAACTCGTGAATAAATAGAGGATATTACATGGGAGCGCGGAGATTCTATCTTCGAGTGTTTAAAACGATAATTTTAACACGAGAAGATAAAATTCGTATCACCAAGATACCATGTAATATTCTGTTTATCATATAATTACATATGAAAGAAAATTATGTCGTATGATACCATGATCACCTCGGATTCTTTTGTCTTCCGAGGGATGTTTACAAGCAAACATCCCTCCCTCATGAATAGCATGGACGATTATAAGCCTTTTTCTTTAAGTGTACGAACTTGCAATGTGAACATGACGACCGCATGGCACTACGATAGACACGATATAGAAATGAAAAAAAGTTATAGTGCTTAGAAGAAGGCAATTCCAGTAGAAAGACCCTTAGGAAATAACTTTATTTCATTTCTATATCGAATATAAACATGGTTTGACAGCATTTGTTCTGTCTGCTTTGCTACAGAATGGCGAAGAGTCACAAGCAGCATGGTCCATTCCACTTATCGTATCGGGGTTGCATTAAGTTATTCTCAAGTCAGAGGAGGCCTCAGAATCACTGGCAATGTTTACCATAATGGGTGTGGCAAAGGGGCTGGATCAGGAGCCGTGACGTATATCAAGGGGGACTGGACCTACATCAGATACACACAGGAATTTAGAGGAGCTGCATCTTGTTGGAAGATTTTTGGAGGACCAGCTTCTCCTAAGTACAGGTATTACAAATTTTATTTACCAAATATTTGTCAATAATTCTGCCCCTGATGGTAGTGCGGCGCGGACCATCCAGTGGCAGATCCACAAATATTTCAAGGTCTGGACTAAATGTAGAGATCTATTTATCTATACACTGCTGTACTAAGAATGACATATTCATGTTCCAAAAAAAACAAGAGCAATACAGCATTGATTGAAAATTACGATATTGGATACGTTATGGAATGTCTTGTGCATCAAAACTCCATTTTAGACTTGAAATCGGATACTCGATACATTTTTCATAT